TCTTGCATATAGCCACTTTGTTAAAGGTGTCTATCAGCTGTTGGAGTTCCCTGGTAGAATTTTAGGAGTAGCTTATGTATACTATCATATCATCTCCAAATAATGATACTTTGACTTTTCCTTTCCAATTTGTATACCCTTGATCTCCTTTAGTTGTCTTATTGCTCTAGCTAAAACTTCAAGTACTGTCTTGAATAGATATGGAGTGGACTGCCTTGACTTGTCCCTGATTTTAGTGAGATTGCTTTAAGATTCTCTCCATTTAATTTGATGTTGGCTATTGGCTTGATGTATATTGGCTTTATTATGTGTAGTTATGTGCCTCATATCCCTGATCTCTCAAGGACTTTTATTATAAGAGGGTATTAGATTTTGTCAAAAGCTTTTTCAGCATCTAATGACATGATGTGATTTTTTTTTCTTTCTGTTTGTTTTTATGGCGATTACATTGACCGATTTTCATATGTTGAACCATCCTTGCATCCCTGGGATGAAGCCCACTTGATCATGGTAGATACTGTTTTTGATGTATTCTTAGATTCTGTTTGCCAAGTATTTTATTGAGTATGTTTGCGTCAGTGTTCATGAGGGAAATTAATCTGAAATTCTTTTGGTGTTGTCGTCGTTGTTGTCAAGTCTTTATGTGGTTTAGGTATCAGAGGGATACCTAATAATAATAGGGTGACCTCATAAAATGAATTTGGCAATGTTTTTTCTCTTTCTATTTTGTAAAATAGTTTGAGGAGTATTGGTATTAGCTCTTCTTTGATAGTCTGGTAGAGTTCTGTGCTCTACCAGGGCGGGGGGAGCACATCTGTCCCTGTGATTTTTTTTTTTTGTTTGGGAGACTTTTAATGACTGCTTCTATTTTTTAGGGGTTATAGGACTATTTAAACTATTATCTGATTGTGATTTAACTTTGTAAGTGGTATCTTTTGAGAAAATTGTCCATTTCTTTTAGATTTTCCAATTTTCTGGCATATTGGTTTTTAAAATAAGACCTAAGGATTCTTTGGATTTCCTTAGTGTCTGTTATTATATCCCCTTTTTCATTTCTAATTTTGTTAATTTGGATATTGTCTCTCTCTGCCTTTTTTTAGTTTGGATAAGGATTTGTCAATCTTGTTTTCCAAAGAACTAGCTCTTTGTTTTGTTAATTCTTTGTATTGTTCTCTTTGTTCCTATTTTATTGATTTCAACCCTGAGTTTGATTATTTCTTGTCATCTACTTCTCTTGGGTGTGTTTGGTTTTCTTGTTTGTTGTAGAGCTTTTAGATGTGCTGTTCAGTCACTAGTGTGAGATCTAACTGATTTCTCTATGAAGGCGTGTAGTTCTATGAACTTTACTCTTAGCAGTGCTTTTATTGTGCCCCATAAGTTTAGGTATGTTGTGCATCAATTGTCATTGAATTCTAGGAAGTCTTTAATTTCTTTCTGTAGTTCCTCCTTGACCCAGTGGTCATTCAGTAGAGAGTTGTTCAGTTTCCATGAGTTTGTAGGCTTTCTGTTGTTGTTGAAGCCTAGCTTTAATCCATGGCTGTCTGATAAGATACAGAGTGTTATGTGTTATTTCCTTTTTTTTTTTTTTTTTTTTTTTTTTTTTTTGGTATATGTTGGGACTTGCTTTGTAACTGAGTATATGAGTATATGGTTGATTTTGAAGAAGGTTCCATGAGGTGCTGAGAAGAAGGTATATTCTTTTGTGTTTGGGTAAATGTTCTGTAGATATCTATTAGGTCCATTTGAGTCATAAGTTTGTTAGTTCTGTTTGTGTGTGTGTGTGTGTGTTGTTTTGTTTTGTTTGGGTTTTTGGGTTCTTTTTCCTCTCTGTTTAGTTTCTGTCTGGATTACCTGCCCATTGGTGAGAATGAGAGTTGAAGTCTCCCACTATTAATGTGTGGGGTTCAATGTGTGGTTTAAGCTTTAATAATGTTTCTTTTACACCTGTGTATGCCGTTGGATTTGGGGCATAGATGTTCAGAAATGAAACATCAACTTGGAGAATTTTTTCTCTGATGAGTATGAAGTGTCCTTCCTCATCTCTTCTGATTAATTGTGGTTGGAAGCCTATTTTGTTAGATATTAGAATGGCTACACCTACTTGCTTCTTTGATCTATTTGCTTGGAAAATCTTTTTCTAGCCCTTTACTCTGAGGTAATGTCTATCTTGGATGTTGAGGTGTGATTCTTGTACATAGCAGAAGGATGGATCCTGTTTTCACATCCATTCTGATAGTCTGTATCTTTATTGGGGATTTGAGTCCATTGATTGAAAGATATTAATGATCCTTGATTGATAACTCCTGCTATCTCAATGGTGGGGGGGGAGAGAGAGAATGAGTGAGTGAGAGAGAGAGAGAGAGAGAGAGAGAGTGAGTGTGTTGTATTTCCCTCTGGTTTTACTGGTGTGGAATTATTTTCTGTGTTTTCTTGGGTGTAGTTAACTTCCTTGGGTTGGAGTTTTCCTTCTAGTATCTTCTATAGGATTGGATTTGTACATTGTCATGAAATATTTTGTTTTCTCCATCATTGGTGATTGAAAGTTTTCCTAGGTATATTAGTCTGGGTTGGCATCTGTGTTCTTTTAGAGTCTTCAGAACATCTGTCCAAGTCCTTCTGGCTTTTAGAACCTATGTATAGAAGTCATGTGTAATTTTTTTTTTTTTTTTTTTTTTTTTTTTTTGGTTTTTCGAGACAGGGTTTCTTTGCATAGTCCTGGCTGTCCTGGAACTCACTCTGTAGACCAGGCTGGCCTCGAACTAAGAAATCCGCCTGTCTCTGCCTCCCAAGTGCTGGGATTAAAGGCGTGCGCCACCACCGCCCGGCGTCATGTGTAATTTTAATAGGTCTGCTTTTATATGTTACTTGGCTTTTTCCCCTTGCATCTTTTAATATTTTTTCTTCTGTATATTTAGTGTTTTATTATGTGGCGGAAGGGGGCAAGGGAAACTTCCCTTTTCTGGTCCAACTTATTTGGTGTTTTGTAAGCTTCTTGTGTGTTTATGGGCATCTCTTTCTTTAGATTAGGGAAATTTTCCTTGATTTTGTTGAGAATATTTTCTGGGCCTTTGAGCTTTCCTTCTATTCCTATTATTTTTAGGTTTGGTCTTTTCGTAGTGTCGCATATTTTCTGCATGTTTTGTGTCAGGATCTTTTTAGATTTAACGGTTTCTTAACTAATGAATGTCTTCTATTGTATCTTCTGTTTTTCATCTCTTACATTCTATTGGTGATCTTTCATCTGTAGCTTCTGTTTGCTTACTTAGATTTTCCATTTCTAGAATTCCCTTAGTTCGTATTTTCTTTATTGCTTCTAATTTCAATTTTAAGGTTTTGAACAGTTTCCTTTACCTGTTTGTTTTTTCTTGGCTTTCTTGGCATTCTCTAAGAGACTTATTGATTCCTTCCAGTTTGTTGTCTTTTCCTCAATTTCTTTTCTGTCATCTTCCTAAAGTTGGTTTTAAGATCATTTTCTTGTGCTTCAGCTGCATTGGAATATTCAGTTCTTGCTGTAGTAGCATAGCTGGACTTTGGTGGTGCTGTATAGACCTGGCTATTGTTGTGTTCTTACACTGGTGTTTAGGCATTTGGGTTTTGGATGATTATAGTTCTAGGTGCTGGTTTCTGAGTTTGTTTTTGTTGGATAAGTATTTTCTTCCTTGGTTTCTGTTTTCTCTTTGGTCTTCTGAGCTTTGTGGCCCCTGTTTCTGGTGACCTGCTTGCTTCTGAATCACTAGGGAGTTTCTGGTTGGGGGATTGACTTCTGGCTACTTGCTTGGCCTTTGGTGCAGCAGGGGGTCTCTGTTCTTCTGAGTGGTGTGGCATCCACCTGAGCAGCTGGAGACTGCCAGAATTGGGGGCAGGGCTGTAACTAAGGGGCAGGTGGTTAGTTGACAGGGAGCTTACTCTTGGGGAGTAAGTCTAGGGAGTTCAGTTCAGCTTGCAGGGACCCACTCACCTGGGACTTGCTATCTTCAGAGAGTTGTTTTATTTGAACATCATCTGTATATAGTAATATCAAGGGTGTTTTACTTTTAGAAAAGTAATAGTCTGTAGTATTTGCAGATAGCTTGTATTAGAACCATTAAAAGATTTAACAAAAATAACAGCTGAGATATGTAGCACATTGATAAAGTACTTGCCTAGAATGCATAACTAGTGTGCATAAGGCATTGGGTTCACTCTCTGGTTCACAAAGGAGGGAAGGGCAGGAAGATCTTATATAACTAAATAAGAATCTTGTTTATAAGTACTTCATCTCAAGAGAAAATGATAATTTATGGTATTTTATAAACACGATTTCCCATTATAAGCCATACATATTTATTTCTAAAATCACTAAATTTAATGTAGTCAATAATTTAGAAGAAATAATTCAAAAACATCAGTATGGAAAAGAGGTATATCACATTTTCTGTAGGGTTATGAGATTTATTCTGAATTCTTGAAAATTAGTATGTAAGTGTACATTATTAAGGTGGTTAGTTTTGTTCTGTAGAATGGTTGCTTAAATTAATGTCAGTTTGTTTTCATTCAGAAAGGCCATATTGAGGCTAGCTATAATGGTGAACATATATAATTCCAGCTACTTGGGAGGCTGAGGCAGGACTAGAGCACGTGAGCCTGTGAATTCAAGACCTGGACAACTTAGTGAGACCCTCCCCCATCTCAGGATTCCAAATACAGTTTGAGGTCAAGACTATTGAGAATATGCTGATGGTTCTGTTTTTCCTGATTCCTCTCTTTGAATGCCACACAGAGAGTTAAGTGTAGCCAGCTGTTGTGGTGTATCCCTACAGTCACAGCAGCTAATGCAAGAAGACCCCAAGTTTGAGGATAGTTTGGGCAACGTAGAAGAGACTCTGTCTCAAAAAAGGAAGAGGGAGAAGGAGGGAAGAGACAGGGTTAAATGTATTAGTGTGATGTGTTGTTTGAATATTTTTCTGACAACCACAATCTTTTACTGAGTGTCTTTTATTTACTTTTTTTTTTAATCCAAGAAGCTGAAAAAAGTGAAGATTCCTCAGGTACTACAGGCCTCTCAGGCTTACATCGTACATACAGCCAGGACTGCAGCTTTAAGAACAGCATGTATCATGTCGGAGATTATGTCTATGTTGAACCTGCAGAGGCCAATCTACAACCACATATAGTCTGTATTGAGAGGCTATGGGAGGATTCAGCTGGTAAGTTTGATTTAAATTGAACGACAGGTGCTAAAAAGATGGCTCAGTGGCTAAGACCATTTGCTGCTCCTGCCAAGGACCTGGCTTCAGTTCTCCCTACATCATGGCTCACAACTGTCCCTTACTCTAGTTCCAGGTGACCTTATGCATTTACATAGCACACACATGGTACATATACATACATGTAGACAAAACCCTCATACATGTACATTGAGTTTTTTATTTGTTTTTAAAGAATTATTTCATATGAGTACACTGTCACATAGGATCCCATTACAGATGGTTGTAACCCACCATGTAGTTGCTGGGAATTGAACTCAGGACCTCTGGAAGAGCACCCAGTGCTTTTAACCATTGAGCCATCTCTCCAGCCCCACATGTACATTTGTTTTTAATCTAAAAAAAGGTCCCCAGGGTGGGGGAGTGCAATTTTTTTTTCCTTGATCATCAAGAAGAAAAAATTTTAACTCATATTTAAGCCTTTCAACAATAGTTATATCAATAAATTTACTGTTCAGTGTATCAGTAAATATAATTAACCACCTAACCATATGCAAACATGGGATCTAGCACTGTTGGGCAGTGTCACAGTTGAGTCAGAAATGTAACTTCTTAATGAGTAGAGAGAGAGTCACTTATTCAGTAATATGTGGAGCCAAACTCTGTGTAGGATGGCATAGATTCAGAAGAGCAAAAGACTCATGCTTTTATCTAGCAAATTTTTTCCAATGAATTCACAGATATGTAACTGAACTTAGAATTTATTGTCAAAAAGCCTTCCTTTAACTATGCCTGTAAGCTGGTTTGATGGCACATACCTGCCATTCTAAAACTCAAGACATTAAGGCAGGAGAATAAGCCTGAGGCCAGTCTAAGATACAGTGAAACCTATCTCAACAGAAAACTAAATAAAATGTAAAAAGAAAGTTGCCTTTGAGACATTAAGAATGAAGCCATTAACAAGTATGAATGTGTTGTAGACAGTCTAGTTCTGTGAGCTGCCAATCAGGTGAAATGCTTTTGGATTCTGTCACCTTTTTGCTAAAAATGTCCTTCCCTATCCTTGCATGCTCAGTGAAGCATGGAGTGTGTATTGACCCAAGCAGCCCTTCTGACCTCCTCCTCTCTGTTGCATGTCTCTGAAGGATGAAATGACCTTTTCTAGACCTCTTTGTGCTTCTTTGTTTTAAAATATTATTTCCTCTAAAATAATTCTATTAAGAACATTTCATCTAAAACCAGTGTTTAAATACTTCCTAGTTCTGCAAAGAATATGTGATTTCTGTTAATAAGTCTCTTCTTTCTCTGTTTTTGAGGTGAAAAATGGTTGTACGGCTGTTGGTTTTATCGGCCAAATGAAACATTCCATTTGGCTACACGAAAATTTCTAGAAAAAGAAGTTTTTAAGAGTGACTATTACAATAAAGTTCCTGTTAGTAAAATTCTAGGCAAATGTGTAGTCATGTTTGTCAAGGTAAGAAACTCATTCATTCCAATGATATCATTTCCTGAAAACACAATTTAAAAATATAAAAATCTACAAAATTAGAAAGTGTTTCAAACATCTTTCTTCTGTGTCTGTTTATAAGAAATTAACATGAATATACTTATGAGGGACCATTTGCTGTGTTCAGTTTATCTATTTACATATCTACAAATATACTATCATTTTTATGTTGCTGGGGTAATTTCCAAGAATGATGTTTTCTGAAAGGTAATCAGTACCAAATACCAGTTTTGCTTTTAGATAATAAAATGTATTATCTGTCATATATGCACATGAGACCTGTACAAAGCTTTGAGACATTTTAACTATATGAAAGTAATATATTTTCAAAGGGCAGTTGACAAAATAAATAAAACTTATAATTAAAGGGAATATAGCCAAGGAAATAGCCCTACTTATCTGGCCATTTACTTTTTTATTGTCAGAAAGTTTTTATAAGTTCAATGTTAGGTTGATTAACATTTGTTTTTTGTTTTTGAGTTAATTTTCAAAAAATTTATTTATTTGTATTATTATCCCCATCCCAGGAATACTTTAAATTATGTCCAGAAAACTTCCGAGATGAGGATGTTTTTGTCTGTGAATCAAGGTATTCTGCCAAAACCAAATCTTTTAAGAAAATTAAACTGTGGACCATGCCCATCAGTTCAGTTAGGTTTGTCCCTCGGGATGTACCTTTGCCTGTGGTTCGAGTGGCCTCTGTATTTGCAAATGCAGATAAAGGGGATGATGAGAAAAATACAGACAACTCAGATGACAACAGAGCTGAAGACAGTTTTAACTTGGAAAAGGTATGTGGGTAGTAACCACCTAGAAAAGAATTTTAACCTTAAAATATCTATTCCAGAAAGTACATTGATGTATTCAAACTCAAATAAAAACAAGATTGAGGTTATAAAACCTTAGTCAAACAAAGTGGAAGAACCTAAGGGAAAAGAAAAAGGAAGGAAAAAATTTAATTTAAATTAGTATTTAAAGGTAAATTGAGGGGCTTGAGAGATGGCTCAGTGGTTAAGAGCACTGACTGCTCTTCCAGAGGTCATGAGTTCAAGTCCCAGCAACCACATGGTGGCTCACAACCATCTGTAATGAGATCTGATGCCCTCTTCTGGTGTGTCTGAAGACAGCTACAGTGTACTTATATATAATAAGTAAATAAGTAAGTAAATAAATAAATAAATCTTTTTTTAAAAAGTAAATTGAGGATGGAAGATAGAGAAATGGCTTAGCAGCACTGGCTGCTCTTCCAGAGGTCCCAGATTTGATCCCAGCACCCATATGGAGCTTAACTGTAATTCTAGTTCCAAGGCATCTGACTTCTGCAGGCACCAGGCACACACTTGATGAACAAACATACATACAGGCAAAATACTCATAAAGTAAATCAAGGAGACTAGTGAGATGGTCCAGTGAGTACTGAGTAGATGAATTCCTTTTAACTCTGTGTGATTGCTATAATTAAAAGCTGTTTAATCTGGGTGTGATGGCACATGCCTTTAATCTCAGGCATCAGAGGCAGATAGATCTGAGTTTAAGGCCAGCCTGGTCTGCAGAGCAAGTTCCAGGACAGCCAAGGTCTACACAGAGAAACCCTGTCTCCAAAAATATATATATCTATATATAGCTGATTAACTACTTGATAGTGTAGAGGCAAAAACCCTTCTTAGTTCATTGTATAAAGTCAGAACAAACTATATTCCACACGCTACAAAATTCAACAGGAAGACTACCCCAATCTCAAGGATAGGTATCAATATAAAAATCAAGGAAATGGTTTGGTCTGGTTTGGTTTTTCAAGACAAGAGTTTCTCTGTGTAGCCTTGGCTGTCGTGGAACTTACTGTATAGACCAGGCTGGCCTTGACCTCACAGAGATCTGCCTGCCTCTACCTCCTGAGTGCTGGGATAAAAAACATGACTACCATTGCATGGCTAAGGAAATGGTATTTTTATAAGTGAGATCAAGCCATTTTAAAACATGATCAAGGAAGGAAATGTTCGACTTAGAAAGGCAAGGATCGCTCAGAATAAACTTCATATTTCATTCAATTACTAGGGTTTTTTATTTTTTAAACTAACATTTCTGTATCACTTATGCTTTCCAACAACCCCATCTGAGGGGCCCACAAGAAATCAGGTCATTTGCCCTACATTATCTGCAGCTAGTAGGTGACAGATTTAGTAATTTAGTCCAAGCCAGAGTTCACTGTGTTTATATCACAGAGCTATATTGTTTCTTGCCAATGTGGAATTAATAAAAATAATAAAATCGCAAAATCTATTGGTTGTTAACATTTAGAAATGACAGTATAATAGAGACCAGGGGAAAGTGCCAAGCTAGTATTTAGCCTTCCTTTCTCTCTAAGGGTAGTAGATAAGAAGCCAGTGTAGGAGAATATTGTACCTTTTGGGAACAGAGGATTATTAGAACAGATCTAGAAGTAGAGGAAGACTTCTATCCTGGACTCTCCTCCTTTCTGCTTTTCTTCGAAAGTGTGGATCTCCTTAGCTAGCACCTCCTATACCATCAGCCTGTGCTTATCTGCCCTCCCAGGAATGTAGAACAGGTCTATGAATAGTAAGTTTCAGACAGACATTCCAAAGGGGCCTGAACCCTGTTACTCCTGGAGTGTATCTGCTGTACCATTCCTCTTTCCTATTCAGTCTGGAGATGAGTTTGCTGTGTGATTCCATGGTGTGAGAAACTAGTCCTTACATTCATTTCTGTCGTGCTAATGGTAGCTTTCCCTGGGGGCCTCCCTAGAGAGTTCATCAGATTAGGACAGAGACTAGAGACAGACTCAGTATCGCAAAAGCCAGTTAAAGCCAGCTTGTTGTATTTCTGAATCCTGCAGGGATTAGAAAGGACTATTACCTTCCAGAATGAGCTATGTCATTAGAAGAGATTGAATAAGCTTAATTTTTATACAGATATTATTAGGAAGAAGCTGATCCTGGTGGCATATGCTTATGATCTCAGGGTTTTAGAAGATTGAAGCAAGAGAAAGAGAAGCTCAGGACCTGCTTGGACTATAGAATGAGTTCAAGGTCAATTTAGTAAGACCCGATTTTAAAAGTAAATGAAGGGTTTGAGATATCACTACTTGCTGAGCACACGTACCACAAAGGGAAGGAAGAAATTCTGTAAAGTTAAAAACAGTAAAGAGGAATATTATTAAAGAATTTGTTCCTTATACTGTATGAATGTTGTGTGAATTTGTCCACTTTGAAATGAATGCTAATAAGTTCTTTCCAGTACTTTTTTCTGAAAAGATCAACTCCATAGGATTGGGAAGGGAGGTATAAAAATTCTTAGAGTAACATTTTATGAAAATTACAAATTTGAAATAAATATAATACCTAATTATGAGTTTGATTTCAATAATTTAATGTTTGGTTTCTGAACTTTCATGAAAACTTACTTATAGTTGTTATTTTTTATGCTTCTTGCTAGTTTTCTGCTTTTATTAACCAGTTCCTCTCCACAGGAAAAAGAAGATGTTCCTGTGGAGATGTCCAATGGTGAGCCAGGCTGCCACTACTTTGAGCAGCTTCGGTACAATGACATGTGGCTGAAGGTTGGCGACTGTGTCTTCATCAAATCCCATGGCTTGGTGCGCCCTCGTGTTGGCAGGTGAGTTAGGGAAGATGAGGTTGGGTCTGAGATTTGAGATTTAGTATTCCACACATGAAGACAGAAGTCCCTCCCTTGGCAGTCTCTCAAGCTTCCTCACACATTTTCCCTGCTCCTACTTCCGTGGCAAGTAGAAGAGAACACACATGTGACTAATCCCAGCAGTTGGAAAGCTAAGGAAGAAAGAGCAAGAGTTCCAGACCAGAGCCTATCCCAAAACATACTCAAAGATTGAAAAATTGTTTTACGTCAGTAAAGCTTTATTCAAATGGGAAAACAGACAACCAGGCATCTTGGATATGTAAAGTTGTGTCTCAGGTCCTGATACATACTGTTGAAATTGGAGCTTGTAAGGTGCTCAGAACATCTTGCTTAGGCTGCGAGGCTAAGCACTGCAAGGGAATATAGATAAAAGTTAAAAATATCTCTCTGGGTTCCCTGAGGGACAAGCCTGACTGCATAGGGGTTGATGTCAAAAGTATCCCCTCTCCAGGAAAAAGACATCAGGATGGGTATGGCCCTCATGCCTCACTGGACAACGACAGGGGGACTGGAGCCATTACAAGGTCCCCTTCAATTACTGGAGGTCAGACTTCTATCCCCACCTTTACAAGATTAGAATTGCCACAGCCCTTCTATACTTAGAGAAGGGAGGAGATGTCAGGGGCAGCCCTGCTTACACACTGAAGGCCTAAAATCAGCCATAGGCCTAAAATCAGCAATAGCCCTGTCATACATGCATACTAACACCAAGTCTTGGGTCTCTGTGGATAAACACTGAAACATATGGCTATAAGCTATTGTAAACAGGCAGTTTTTGTGACAGTTTACCAGCCTGAGTAGTCATAGACCTTGTAAACAGGTAGCCGTGGCAGATATTACCAACTTAGATAAGGACAAGTGAATCATAGGCAGAGTCATAGTGACG